ATAATCTGACTATCAAGACTATGGTCATGCTGGAGTGGCTGGCTGCACACTGTACTAAGGCTTCCTTTGTCATGAAGATCGACTCCGATGTTATACTCAATGTCCCGAATCTGGTGAAACTGTTGGTGGATCCTAGCACAGCTAAGCAAAACTATATGACTGGGCTGGTTTGGTGGCATAGTCCTGTTTTAAGGAACCCATTTATAAAGTTCTACATGCCTCCATCTGTGATTGCTGAATCAGAGTACCCCCCGTATCCGCTCGGATTTGCCTACGTCATGTCACTAGACCTTCCTGGGAAGATCTTGGGAGTGTCACCTCAGATCAAACCGATCTACATTGAAGATGCTTACCTCGGCATGTGTCTGAAACACCTGGGCGTATCTCCTACTGACCCTCCAGAAGAAACGATGTTTCTTGTCAAGCCCAGCCATTCTCTGAGCAGCTGCAGTCTTTCAAAGGTGATCGCTTCGACAACAACAAGCATCTTGCAAATGAATGGCTACTGGGAGAGGATCAAACGGGGAGTTCAGTGCTGAAGGTTTTCCAAAAAAAGGTATTGTTTATAGTTATAGGATTTTGGATCAATGGAGTGGGAACCTGAATATGGCCAATGGTTAAAACAAAAATAAAATATTGCATATTTATTATGTGGCAAAATGGAGACACCTTTGTTACATCTTGCCAAATCTGATCATTAGGCCAAGTTAATATAATTTTCTTTCCTTTGAAAAACGTCAATATATTTAACTGAAGCACAGAGGTTGTGAGAGGCTTTTTGTCAGGGGTTAGTATTAAGAGTATATTTATATATTTACATGTTAGATGTTTGTAGTGATATTGGATTTTCAAATGATAAAATGATACTGTAATCACTTTTTATTGAAGTCAGCCAGGCCTCCTTTGTCCTCAGCTCAAGTGTGAGATGTTTAAGTTACTTTTATAACCTCTTGTATTTAACTTTTCCAGCTCTTTTGCATTTCTGTACTTTTTACTCTGTGTTTGTCTTTTATATTTGGTGTTATGGTATGGATAACACCAAAGGATATACATATAAATAAAGGATATATAGGATTTAGGATATAAATGCTGTGGTGTTTTTCCTAGTTCATGTAACATACTTGTTTCTATGTCAAGCTAAACTGATGTTATCTAAACTATGTTGCATGTATGATCTTGATGCAATGCGATATAGGAAAAGTACCATGAGTTTAAACAAACTGGCCAGTACTGGGAATACAGTTGTAGTTTCTCATAGTTCCACAAGATGGCAGACTTTGATTCGATAAAATTTAAGCCACAACACTCCTAAC